CCCTTTCGCTGACGTCCAGCAGCTCCTGCTCCGCCAGCTTGCGGGCTCTCTCTGTCTGCTCCACCACCGAGCGCAGCTCCTCCAGCTCCGCCTGCAGCAGGTTGTTGCGTCTCTCCACAATGGCGATGTTCTCCTTCAGGTCATCGTTGACACGGAGGGAGTCGTCCAGCTGCAGCTGAGCATCCTGGGAGAGGGAGAGAAACACAACAGGTGGATTAACTTCAGTTCTATAAAATGGTAGATGTGCTAATTTGTTTAAAAAGACTAAAATAATATATATTTCATTTTGAACAAGAACAAAGTTCTTGGCTACCAGAGCAACCTCCTACTGTAAACTAGTTCTGAAATCAATTTTTTTTTTCTAGTTGAAATGTTTGCATGTCAATAACCTGTATGATATTTTAAGATGTCTTGTAAATAATTTTCATTATTATTATATTTTTAATCTCATGGGTGTTAAAAAGCTCATTTATTTTAATATAAACTTGCTTGGGAATAAACTATTTTTTAGTCAGTAATACAGTTTTGGAAGCTCTGGCCTGCAATGTGTAGATACTTCCTGACAAAAAGCCTACAATTGTGTTGTCATCTCTTGTCATTTCTCTAACCTAGAAGGGAAAACGGAATACTTACTTTAAGGGCTGCATGGACATTCTTCAGCTGTTTCTGGGCTTCTGCCGCCTGCCTATTGGCCTGGCTGAGCTGGATCTCCATCTCATTGAGGTCTCCCTCCATCTTCTTCTTCAGCCTCATGGCCTCATTCCTGCTGCGGGTCTCTGCCTCCAGGGAGGTCTGCAGCGAGTCCACCACCCTCTGGTGGTTCCTCTTCGCCTGCTCCATCTCCTCGTCCTTCTCAGACAGCTTGCGCTCAATATCGGCCTTGATCTGGTTAAACTCCAGCTGGGCTCTCAGGATCTTTCCTTCCTCGTGCTCCAGAGAGGCCTGTCAGAAAACAACAGAAGCTGTTTAACAAGAAGTCAAACAAAGACAATCACAAAAAAGAATTTGCTATAGTTTCTTAAATATATTTGTGCTAAGATTGCAAACCCTGCCTTTTGATAGAGAACATTCTGAATATCCACCTCTAATGGATTCGCTGTATTTAACAATTGCAGATGCCAAAAACGTTCCTTCTCAAATTTCATGATGGTGACAAACCATTAGAATCCATACAGCAAAAATGAGAGAAACGTGTGGATAATTTGCTTCACACTCCTCGTGAGATGAGCTGGGTGTCTATACCAAACTCCCTTTCCTGTTTCCCCACCTCTGCCTCTTCCAGCGCTGCCTGGATCTCAGCCTTATCCTGCTCCAGCTGCTTGCGGAGCTTCTCCAGCTCATGGATACTTTTCCCTGACTCTCCGAGCTGTTCAGTCAGATCGGAGATTTCCTCTGAAGAAACAAGTCATGCAAAATTTCAAACACAGGCTCATGTTTCAAACTCTGACATACATTGAGAGCTCAGTGTAGATCCTAACCTTGCAGGTTCTTGTTCTCCCTCTTCAGAGTCTCTAGGTGCTCCAGAGACTCCTCATAAGCGTTCTTCAGCTTGAAGAGCTCAGTGCTGAGTGACCGGGCCTCCTTCTGGGAGCTCTCCAGCTCACTCTGTGACTCTTCAAACTTCTGCTTCCACTCGCTCAGGATCTGGTGGGATCAGAACAGACCATTGGAAGCACATTGAACACAGGGGCTTCAGAGAGGCTTATTGAGGTCTCCCTCAGATCACTCAGACCCATGTCCAGTGGTACCTTGTCAAAGTTCCTCTGCTTCTTGTCCAGAGCCGCAGCAGCTGCATTAGATCTCTCCAGATCCACCATCAGATCTTCAATCTCATTTTGCAGCCGGTGTTTGGTCTTCTCCAGGGAGGAGCATTTAGCGTTCACAGCCTCCACGGCCTCCTCTGCATCCTGCAGCCTCTGAGCCAGCTTCTTCCTGGGAAGGAGGAACGCAGACAAGGGAATGATTGAGGCAAGAGGAGCTCCTTAAGCCACAGACTCAAACACTTCTTCACTTACCACACGCACAGTCGTACAGTCTGCAAACAGACAAACTTTTTGTTCGTCTTATATTCTAATTTAAACATAACGCAAACAAAAAGCTTATCTGTCAGGAGAACAAATGAAACAGCACCTTTTAAACTGCAACTAAATGTTTAGTATCAAATCACACTTATACACATTTTAAATTTTAGAAAGGATACAAACGCAAAGATAAGAAGTAGGTATTGGACATCAGTCCTTACTTTGCATCCTCCAGCTCCTCTGTCCTCTGGATGGCGTCAGTCTCGTATTTGGTTCTCCACTGAGCCACTTCAGCATTGGCCTTGGACAGACTGCGCTGCAGCTCAGCCTTGGCCTCCTGCTCCTCCTCATACTGCTCCCTCAGAAGGTCTGCATCATGGCGAGCGGACTGCGTTGCGTGAGCCAGCGCATTCTTCGCCTGAGGACACAGAAACACACAGAGGACATCAGAGTCTGGGCACAGAGTCCTGCTTTAACACACTATGGTGAAAATAGCCAAGTAATTACCTTGACTTCCTCTTCCAGTTGTCTCTTGAGGTCCTCAATCTGCTGGGTGTAGGACTGCTTGCCTCTAGTCAGCTGGGAAACTAGAGACTCCTTCTCTTCCAGCTGCCTGGACAGCTCCCCTAGTATGACAACACAGTGGATAAGAAACTGGACTGTTTCAAGGAGTCTCTTCCAGCTGCCTAGAAGTTCATCTGTGAAAGTTGAAAATATAATATCTTTTTTTTAAAGTGAACATTCAGTAACATTCTCCTAAACTATCCTTACCATTCTCAGTCTGAAGCTTGGCTTTTTGAGTTGAAAAGTCATTGAGAGATCGTTGGCATTCTTCAAACTTGTTTCTGTACTCTGAACTTTGGTCTTCCAATGTCCTGCACAATTTCTCCAGGTTTGTCTGTAGAAGATTTATGCATGGTTTGAATTCATAGACTACATTTTATCAATGCATTTAATCATTTTATTTAAAACATGTAGATAAGCGTTCTGTTTACCTTTGACTTGACTACCATCTCCATGCTGGAGACCACATCATCCAGCTCCAGCCTGAGCTCGCTCTTCTCCTTCTCCAGCTTCTGCTTCACCCTCTGCAGGTTGTCTATCTGCTCGCCAAGGTCTGCCACACTGTCGGCATGTTTCTTCCTCAGTGTGGAGGCTGTGGCCTCATGCTGCAGAGTGGCCTCTTCCAGGTCTCTGCGCAGCTTC